TAGCCTAGCCCACTTTTGTCATAACTCATCTGCTGAAACCCGAGGATGTCTTCCAGTGTCTTTCACTTTTTGTTCCATATATCAATCGTCACTACAAGAAAAAACACTTTTGGCGACCACCTATTTTTTTTGGTCGCAAATAGTCCACTTTCTGCGACTAAAATTTAACTTTTGGCGACCAAAATTTTTTGGTCAAGGAAAATCACCATTTGGCGACCAAAAAAAAAGTTGGCTGCAGAAAGTATACCTATTGGCGACCAAATGCTTTTTTGGTCGCGAAAGATCACCTTTTGGCGACCAAAAAAAAAATTGGTCGCGAAAAGTATACCCTTTGGTGACCAAAGGCTTTTTTGGTCGTGGAAAGTATACCCTTTGGCGACCAAAAAAAAAGTTGGCCACGGAAAGTATACCTTTTGGCGACCAAAGGCTTTTTTGGTCGCGGAAAGTATACCCTTTGGCGACCAAAAAAAAAGTTGGTCACGGAAAGTATACCTATTGGTGACCAAAGGCTTTTTTGGTCACGGAAGATTACCCTTTCGCAACCAAAAAAAAAAAAAGTTGGTCGCGGAAAGTATACCTATTGGCGACCAAAGGCTTTTTTGGTCGCGGAAGATTACCCTTTGGCGACCAAAAAAAAAAAGTTGGTCGCGGAAAGTTATGGCGGGATAAATTTTTTAAAAAAAAAAGATACTATTGTAATTACATGCTATTTTTCTGTTTAGGCATTAAAAGTTTTATAAAATAATATATAACCCGATTTTTATGGGTTATATATTTTTTTTGCCAAATATGAACAAGAAGCATGTTATTGGCAGAGTGGATTGGGTGCATGGTGACTCCTTGGTCAGGAGTTCAAGTTCCAGGCAGCACAAAAGAATTATTTTTTTTGGGTCAAGGCACTGACTTTTGGCAACCAACTTATCTTTGGTCGCTAAAAGTTTCCTTTTGGCTAATATGAATTGGATTTTCCGCGACCAAAAAAGTTGGTCGCGAATGGTCACTTTTAGCGACCAAAGGCTTTTTTGGTCACAAAAAACTATATGTCACAAGGCTTTAGCGACCAACTCACAACCAACATATTTTGGTCACGAAAAGGTTTTAGCGACCAAATATGGTACTTTTCGCGACCAAAATGTTGGTCACAGAAAGTGTTTTTTCTTGTAGTGCATGGATCTTGCATCTTGGAGTTCTTCCTCTTTCTGATTGACCATCTCTTCTAATGCAACTTGTGACATCTCAAGAATTTCAATTTTCTCTTCGTATGTGGCATATATTTTCAGAAGTTCATTTTTTTCGGTCTCACAAGATAAAAGTTTTCCACATAGGTCTTGCCTGGCATTGGAGATCTTTATGACATCCTACTTTGTTGTTGTAATCTCTTCCCTTAGCTTGACATTTTTGCTTTCACATGCTTTGAGGCTGAAAGTCAGTTTGTCATTGATTTTGGACAAGTTCAAAGATTCATTGTAAAGCTTTTCATAAGCTTGTTGTAGATCATCACCATTGATCTCATCATTGTCTTCCAAGGTTTCATCATCTTCATCTTCTTTTTACTCCTCTTTCTCCTTAACCTCATCCAGTCGAGTAACCAAGGCAAGAAAGTTGGTGGATGGTGGTGACGATGACTCTCCTCTTTCATGGAATTGACTCAGAATGTCCCATGCTTCTTTGGCCTTTGTGCAGTGAGCAATCCATTGTTCTTCTTCAGAAATTGCTTCACTAATGACAATCAGATCTCTTTGATTGATTGGATTGTCAGCACTTTCAACATCCTCTTCAATTGGTTGCCAACCTTCAGGGTCATGAGCTTTAAGAAATATCCTCATTCGGATCTTCCAAAATAAGTAGTTAATCCCATCAAAGGTAGAAGCACAGTGTAGATTCTAACCACAAGCAAACTCCACTAGCTTTGGAGGAGGTGACGGTAGACTAGAATGCCATGTAAGTACTATCTCCATCTTTACCGGATTCGGCTTCTTCGGGTTCTTACTCTGATCCACTTTCATCATCCTAAGTCACTGTATAGACTTTCTTCCTGTTCTTTTTCGATGGACATTCAAGAGCAATATGACCAAACCCTTGACATTCGTAACACTTGACAACTTGCCCTTTCACAGTCTTCTTTTTAGTTTTTTGAGCAACTTTAGTGAATATTTTTTAAATTTTAAGTAAATTTTAAAATTTTTTTAGATGCACCTTACTTAAATGTACCTAAAAAATAAAATATTTATAAAAAATTAATAAATTTACAAGAATACGAAAAATGTATTGAATATATATATATTATATTTTTGGTATTTAGTGAATTTTCTATTAAAAAAAATTCACAAATATTATATTTTTAAGTATTTTTATGTTAGGTGTATCTAACAATTAAAAAAAAAATTGCTTAATATATTAAAAAAAAAAACTCAGTAGAAACAAAAAAAAATAAATAAAATAAAATAAAATAAACATGAAAAATAAAAAATTTCAATTTTCTTAAAAGTAAATCCTGAAAATTCAAACCAAACAAGCTTAATACAATTTGGAAAAATCAAATTGGATTGTGCCACTTAACTTTTGTCTAGTGAACTCTAATGGAGTCCCATGTAGTTGGGGTGTTGTATTTACACTAAAAAAATAAATAAAATTAGTAATAAAATTATTTTTCAAGAATGAAATATTTTAATTGTCAAAAGTATTATTGTTAGTTTTTTAGACAAAATTACACATTTAATACTAATGAATTACTATCTTTTTTAGATCAAATTTTTTGTCCAAAAGAAAAACCTTTTTGGGAACCAAATTGTTTTATTCTTTTTTTTTCTTTTAGATGGTCAAATTATTTTGTTCTTAAATGTGAATTTATTAGTGATATTTTAAAAAAATTGTCAGTAAAGTTTTTTTTTTTTTGACTTTTTGAAATAACCTTTTAGTGACAATTCTAGTAACGACAGAAATTGATCTCTGAATATTTTTTGCAACAAAATTTTTACTTTTAAAGGAAAAAAACAATTTAGTTCCTAAAATCCAAGGGTTCGTTTGGGATGTGAGTTGCCTTTTTGACTTTTTTGCTATTTTAGCATGGGGCTAAAATAACCTCGTTTGAGATGAACTTTTTGGCTTTTTTAACTTTTGTGAGAGAAAAAATAAAATGATTATGATTTAAATATAACAACTTTTAACCTGGGACTAAAAAATTTATTTTATCTTTTTATAACTAAAATAGTCCAAACCCACATGCCAAACGACTACCAAATATGTTTGCAGTGGGTGGTTGAAGCAACTTTCTCCAAGTTCAGGAACAGTTTGAGTTCATAATGCTAAACCCAAAATTAGAGAATTATTCAGTACACTTGGATTAATGCTCCATTTCATTTATTAATGGACACTTTTCATATTATCTTTAAAATTTCAATACGAAAGTAGTGTATTTTATAATTAGACTAATAAATTATTAATTTGGAGCCAGACTTGGACTTGCTTAAGGAGAACTAAATAATTTCTCCCAAAATTGATTTGTCATAACTACATAATAATTAATGTGTTGTGGAAGTATTAATTCTAATTTAGCACTATCATTTACCTGATAAATTAATGTTGAGCCTTTTTTTTTTTTTTTTTGGGCGTTAACAAATCTTATTCTTTATAATGGGAATCCATTCCATTTTTTGATCACGTTTTTTATTTTCGAAAGCACAAAACCTCATGATCATACCAGTGTTCCTAAGTCAAGTTAACTTTTTTCCTTTTATTTGATGGGAAAATTACCAATGTAACCAGAAAATTATTACAAATTCATGATAGAGTTTATGAATTTAATTATTAATGTGTATAAAATTTACCACTTATTTGTAATTTTTTTTTGAAAAACCTATGCTGAAATGAAATTTTTCCTTCTTTGATTGAGTTTAGTAAATGAGAAGATAACAAATAGATCATTGTTATTCATAAAAGTAAACATGTATAAATAATTTCATTTCCTTTCATTTTATTTTTTAATCTTCGTTTAAGTATTGCCATAGAGATATAATATTTGTATACTACCATCAAATTGTAGTCCTCGAAAAATTGAAGTCTGCAACATGTAGAGCATTTTTTTTTATTTTTTTCCTGATACTCCCCATTTCAGGAGAGAAAAATCAATAGAAATAATCTTTGGCAATTTTTATTTTTTATTTTTTAAAAAATGATATAATTGACCACTTGATTGAATAGTCACTACAATATATAAGAGTTTTAAAAATTAATTTTTTTCCGCCTAAAGCTACAAATTTTGTTGCAAAAAATATTCGGAGATCAATTTCTGTTGTCATGAAGATAATTGTTAAAAAGTCGTCCAAAAACGTTTTTTAAAAAAAAAATTAGCACTAAAATTTTGAAAATGTTGCTAATAAAAATGCACTTTTAGGGACAAAATACTTTGATCCAAAAAAGGTTTATTTTTTAGACAATAAATTTTGGTCTCAAAAAATAGTAATTCATCACTAAATATCCAATTTTGTCACAAAATATAATAATGACACTTTTGATTACTAAAATATATTATCCATAAAAGTAATTTTATTCCAAAATTTTTATCACTAAAATCTTAATTTGTTGTATTAAGTATTGTTATATAGTTTGATATATATTATTGGACACATTTCTTAACAACTTATGATTTTGAAAAAATTGGTAATTTAGCATAGCATTAGAACTCTGGTTGAGATAACTATTGGGTTTAAGTCTCTTTATCAGTATTTGGTATTATGTCCCTATTTGATTTTCTCCTCTCTGTTTGATTATTTGATTCTCTATTTGTCTCTCTACATACGCAAGACGGGATTACACGTGAAGAAACTTGTGCATAGTGTAGCTAACCTATTTGACAATATGTTTTGGAACACAATTTAGTTCACAATTCCCATTGGCATCAAACTTTTCATTAGATTATGGTAAGAGACTTTTTATTATTAGTGATCATATGTTAATATTTGACATCGCATTTCCAAGTACATATATAGAGTATATTGAATTTACAAGATGGTTCCGTTCCATCCAAAACTGGAGCCCAAAGTGTCATAGAATTTGAGGAAGAATCTTGTAAGAGGAACAGACAACTTGGCTTCAAGTATGGTTGAAATTGCAGCACTAAGCTTCTTGTTTACATCTGGGTTAAGACCTCCAATGGACACCACTTCACCATAGGCTGCCGGGTCTTCAATCCCACCTATAACAATGGGGACTGAACCCTTCAACATAACCATCACATGAGCCTCTGGTTTTCCAATGAGATCGGCGACAGCGAAAGTGGCTTCTTTGAGGATGGAGGAGATATCAATGCCCTCCAGGTTCACGTTAGTAGATAGGTTCTATAGAGACGAGTTTGATATTTATGGAATTTATTCCTTCCTACTATGAGAGTTGTACGTAATTGATTGGGCTACTCGTGATTATTAGACTGGGATACTTTTGTTCGGTTTTGATTGATTTTTTAAAATTAGATTTTTATTTTTTTATTTTTTTTTGGTATTTTTTACCTTTGTTTTAGTGATTTTTTTTTAATATTTTAGGTAAATTTTTTACTTTATAAAAGTAAAATATTTATAAAATTTTATAAATACACAAGAACACGAAAATGTATTAATTTTTTTTTATATTTTTTGTATTTGATGAATTTAAAAAAAAATCATATTAGACTGGGATACTTTTGTTCGGTTTTGATTGATTTTTTAAAATTAGATTTTTATTTTTTTATTTTTTTTTGGTATTTTTTACCTTTGTTTTAGTGATTTTTTTTTAATATTTTAGGTAAATTTTTTACTTTATAAAAGTAAAATATTTACAAAATTTTATAAATACACAAGAACACGAAAATGTATTAATTTTTTTTTTATATTTTTTGTATTTGATGAATTTAAAAAAAATCATAAATATTATATTTTTTTTAATGTATCTAGGTTAGGTGTATCTAAAAAATAAAAAAATAAAAAAAAATATTGAAATATTAATTTTTTTTTTTTACTAAAAACAAAACAAACAAAAAAAAAACCACAAAAAAATAAAAACTTAATTTTCTAAAAAGTTGGCTCAATTTTTTGAAACCAAGCAAGGTGTTGTTAGGCTAAGTGATTAGTTTGATGTAAGGATTGACTTCGTTGTCTAAACTCGTGAGGTCTATTATGGATCTCATTTTTATAATTTGAATTGTTAATTTTATAGAAATTTTCGTGTATATCATCTAAAAAAAGTTTAATTTCTCTCAAATTGTCATCATGTATCTCATTTTAATAATTTAAACTGTTAATATTATAGAAATTTTCGTGTATATCATCTAAAAAATGTTTGATTTCTCTCAAATTGTCATCTCAATAACGTTTAAGCTTGATAAATCTATTTTTTGAAGCTCAACCCTCTAAAACAATGCTATCTCTCTTAACCATAGATTTGATGTAAATATCATGAAAAAGTAATCTACAAAATCAAGGTACAATAAAGGGGAATTAGTTAAGAGTGGAGTAGAGAAAAAAAAATATAAATACATGAGAAGTATAAATAATTCTGTGATAGGGTGCAAGTGAAAAAGTTGTGAGGGTACAAGTTGCACCATCATGTTTGTATAAATTTTTATTTTCCTATTACAATGTTAAGTGATTTCCCTATGACAAATTGTGAGCATTATAGATTTGAAGTGTCTATCATTGAAATGAAGTAATTTACAAAATCTAAGGGTATGTTTGGCATGGACTTTTGTGTGTGTGTGTGTGTGTATGTATGGGGGGGTGGGGTTGTTATTTTAGCCACAAAATGACAAAATAAGTTAAAAAGTCAATAAGATAAAATGTCACATCTAAACCATAATCATTTCTTTTTTTCTCTCATAAGAGTCAAAAAAATCAAAAAGCCCATCCCAAACGAGGCTTTTTAGCCTCAATTGGGAAGTAACAATTTTAGCCTAAAAGCCAAAAAGTTACTAAAAATATAAAAAGTCTATAACCTATACAAAAAAGTCAAAAATTCTATTTTTCTTTACTTTTTACACATTTTTTTATAAAAAATTAAAAACTCATTTTAAGCATACAAGTGTTTTTGTGTGTGTGCGTGTGTGTGTGTGTGTGTGAAGGCTAAGTATAACAAATTGGGAGCTAATTGAGATTTGATGTTGCATTTATCCTTAAAAGGTAATCTACAAATCTAGTATAATAAGTGATTGGGTCTTACTGGAAAGTGTTTTTGAAACACAAGAAAAATAAAAATAAAAATTCAGAAAATACTTTTCTTTGAAATGCAATTTTTATTTTGATTGATTTTCTAAAAATTTATTTTTTATTTTTGTTTGAGTGAATTTTTTACTTTATGAATGCACATAACTTAAATGCACTTAAAAAGAAAAATATTTGTGAAAAAATATTTTTAAAATTTAATAAATATACAAGAATATGAAAATGTATTGAATTTATATATATATATATACATATTTTGTATTTTTGTATTTGATGAATTAAAAAAAAATCCATAAATATTATATATTTTAAATATATCCAGGTTAGGTGCATCTAAAAAATAAAAATATCTTGACATATTAAAATTTTTGACTAAAAATTTAAAAAAAAAACACGAAAAAAAAAACCAAAGTGTTGTTAGGCTAAGTGATTAGTTTGATGTAAGGATTGAGTTAGTTGTTTAAGCTCGTGAGGTTTATCATGGATATTATTTTAATTATTCAAATTGTTAATTTTATATAAATTTTCATGTATATTATTTAAAAAAAAAATTGTTTCTCTAAAGTTGTCATCTCAACTTTGGAGAACATTTAAGTCTAATGAGTCCATTTTTTGAAGCCCAACCCTTTAAAACAATGCTATCTGTTAACCATAGATTTGATGTACATTTAAAGTTGTTTTGAAAAGATGGTTAAAAGTTCGTTTTTTAACTTTTTTTTTTTGGTTCTTTTTTTTTTTGAAAAAATATGTAAAAAATATGAGAAATTATGTGACTTAAAATGAGTTAAAAGCTGATTCCAAAATAGCCATAAAAAAGGTAATTTATAAAACCAAGGTATAATAAAGGGGAATTACTATTAAGAGTGGAGTAGAGAAAAAAAAAATTACAAATACATGAGATGTGTAAATAATTCTGTGGTAGGGTGCATGTGAAAAAGTTGTGAGGTTACAAATTACACCCCATTATGTTTGTATAATTTTTTTCCCCCCCCTTCCTGTTACACTGTTAAGTAATTCTCCCTATAGTAAATTGTGAGCGTTATAGATTTGAAGTATCTATCATTAAAATGAAGTAATTTATAAAATCTAAGTATAACAAATTGGGAGCTAATCGAGATTTGATGTTGTACTTAAAATCATAAAAAGGAAATTTACAAAATCTAGTATAATAAATGAAGGGTGAAGTACCAATAAATCTCAAAATGTGATCTTATGAATTGTTTTTTATTTTTATTTTTTATTTTTTTAATTTTTTTTTATGAACTCAAAGGTCCTATTAAAGTGAAAATTACACAAAAGGATAGTTACTTACATATTTGGGTTTAATTTTTTAAGGATAAAAGTGAGTTTCTCAAAATATAAAATTAGACATTTGGGCAATCCACATTATAGAGGTTTTGGATTTTCCCTTCTCTTGGAACAAATCCCACACTACGAACAAAAACATAACACTCTGATATAACACCCAAATAACATAACACTTTAATGTAACACACTAAAAAACTTCTTAGCGTATTTTTCCCAAACGTAACAACGTAACACTCTAAAAAAACTACTTCGTGTATTTTTTCCAATGGTAACAATTTAACACTCCAAAAAAACTTCTTAGTGTATTTTTTTTCAAACGTAACACTCAAATGTAACACACAAAAGAAACTCCCTAGTGTACTTTTTCCAAACGTAACACTCCAATTAATGTAATTTTAAACGTAATACTCCAATATAACATACTCTAATGTAACACATAAAAAAAAATATTAAAAAACTAGTTAATGTACTTTTCTCCAAACGTAATACTTACAATTTGAAAATTATAAATTTACTCGAAGCTTACTAACAAATTTTGGTACTCTTTTTGAAATGATTTGAAGAATCTCACATCCTTTTTTTTGGAGTGTTATATTAGAATGTATAATTTGGAGCACAAGGACGAAGCACAACCAAGCTTGCAAAATTGGTGGCTAACCTTATCACCATGGATACTTTGAGTTGTTGTGGGGACGACACAGTCCTTGAGGCACTGGAGAGCACATTCATAAGCAGTGTGAGAAGGTATGATGTTGCACAAAATGAAGCATCCGACGTAGCAATCCATGAAAGGGGTTGGGGACTGTCCTTCTACTTCTCTCATCCTAGAAACCACAATCACCCTCACTCCATCTCTCTTTTCCAAGAAAATATGATAACCCTAAAACTCAGTTTCAGTTCCTAAGGTTTATATACTACGAACAAACATTAAAAGCAGAAGAAAATACTAACAAAGTATATAAGAATGTTGTTCATAGCATATGATTAGGCGGCCTTATTGGTGCCAACCTAGTTGGGATTGATTTGGTTCACTATGATGCTTTTTACACTTATCATCATGTTGGCATAGTTAAATGAGTTCAGATCGTGTTGGCATAGTTAAATGCTTTTTACACTTATCATCATGGTTTGGTTCTATAACTATGCCAACATTCTTTTCACCATGTTGGCATAGTTAAATGAGTTCAGATCGTCTATCGTGGTTTCCTGCGGTGGCTCCTGCAGCGGCCCAAAACAACGTTGTTTTGGACTTTTTTTTTTCCTTCCCTATTTTTTTTCTCTCTCAAACGTTTTAGAACCAAACCCTAACAAAACAGAGAGGCGAGAGAAAGAGAGAAGGAGGAATCACTGAAGCTAATGACTCTACATATTTCTTGATGGAGTTGAGCTCTCTGCCTATGACTCTACACATTTCTTGATGAAGAGGAGGTGATGGCGGCGGCGAGGCAACAACGACTAACATATGAAGAGAAGAACCCAGATTTCATGGAATTCTTGGGAAAGAACTAGATCTGATGTAGAGAAGAAGTAGAGAAACAAAGTAGTATTGAATATTTTGAATGACTCTCTCTCACTGGTAGTTAAAAAGTTTTGAACAAAAAGAAAAAAAAATCAAATTTGAAGAGATGGGTTGTGCTGGCTTTGTTGCTTAATGATGGAGATGAACAAGCCAAAGGAGAAATCAAAGAGGGAAAGCATTGAGCCAGAGTCCATTGAAGCCAGGCTTCTACGGGGATCAGGTTAGTGCTGCCTATAAAAGTAAGGCACCCTCGTGGGTTTAAGGTATGCTTTTGTTTTCTGGCCAGTGAGTTAAGCATTATTTGCTATTTTTTGAGAGATAACTGAGTACTGACTTGATCATCGGAGTGCCCCTGGGTGAACGAACCACCGCCGAAGTCTTATCTTTCTATGACAGGTTGTTCGGGCGTGATCTATTCTGCCTGTGCTCTTCTGCTGAGTTCCTGTTTGGCAGTGTGGTTGAAAATCAACACCCACAAGAATTCTATTCAAAGCAAATAAGGTTTCAACATGTGAAGTTATTGTGTGACATGTGATGCTTTTTTGTTTTTTCTTTGACAGGGTTATACTTAAAAAGGCAAAATGACACCACAACCACTTGATTGGATATTGGATATGTATGTGCAAATGACTTGTATCACGAGACGAGACGACATATCTGTTCCAAAATTTTTATCTCCTTGCCCTATGTTTTTTGTTTTTCGTTGTACAATGTGACAATTTCATTGATTTTTAATTTGAAAAATGTCACATTGTGCAGCAAAAAAAGAGCATAGGGAATAGAAATCACATCTTATGATTCTAGAAGGATTAGACTTTGTAAGGGCATGAAACTCATCTTAAGAAACTGATGGGAACTTTTGAGTAAGAAGTTTGTAATCCATTCTATTTGGCTAAGAGGTACCTACATATAATTCCGCATTTCTCTCTCTCTCTCTAGAATATGGTATTATAGAATGCATCTCCAATCATATTTTTCTTATTGGTTCACTACCTTCTCTAATTTAATTAGCAAATATAGGGGAAAAAAATTCTCTATCCAATTACAAATCACCATGTTGGCATAGTTAAATGAGTTCAGAACGTCTGTCGTGGTTTCCTGCGATGGCTCCTGCAGCGGCCCAAAACAACGTTGTTTTGGACTTTTTTTTTTCCTTCCCTCTTTCTTTTCTCTCTCAAACGTTTTAGAACCAAACCCTAACAAAACAGAGAGACGAGAGAAAGAGAGGAGAAGGAGGAATCACTGAAGCTAATGACTCTACATATTTCTTGATGGAGTTGAGCTCTCTACCTATGACTCTACACATTTCTTGATGAAGAGGAGGTGATGGCGGCGGCGAGGCAACAACTACATATGAAGAGAAGAACCCAGATTTCATGGAATTCTTGGGAAAGAACTAGATCTGATGTAGAGAAGAAGCAGAGAAACAAAGTAGTATTGAATATTTTGAATGACTCTCTCTCACTGGTAGTTAAAAAGTTTTGGACAAAAAGAAAAAAAAAATCAAATTTGAAGAGATGGGTTGTGCTGGCTTTGTTGCTTAATGATGGAGATGAACAAGCCAAAGGAGAAATCAAAGAGGGACTGTAATATTGATTTAAGATGATGAACACAATGATGAAGATTGGGTTTGGGGCCAAACTTCCCCCTACCTCAAAAAAAAAAAAAAAAAAAAAAAAAAAAAAAAAAAAAAAAAACGTAGAAGCAACCGAGAAGAAGGAACAAGGAACAAGGAATTTTGCTCTCTCTGTCTTTTTATTTACCTTCCTTCTTGCTTTTCTCTCTCTTCTTTGATTGTTTCTACAAACCCAAAAAAAAACCCATCTTCTTTATGTTTTCTATGATCCTCAAGAACCAAAAAATGCTGAAGCTAACCAAACCTAGGATCAATTTTTTTCTTTTCTACAATTGAAAATTGAAGTTCCATGTTTTGTTGTTTACTTTCCATGGAAATTGATTCAATTTTTTTCATATTTTTATATTTGGATTTCAGGTGTGTCTCCGCCGTTATCGTTGTTGCCTTACCATTGCCGTCGTTGTCGCCTAGCTGTTTGATCGTCAATGGCGACTTCGTCTCTTTGTCCATCCATTTGTGAGGTGCTTTGAATCCTACGATTCAAAGCTTAGACAAAGAAGAAAAGAGGTGAAAGAACAAAACAAAAATTAAAAAAAAAAAAAAGAAGTCCAAAACGACGTTGTTTTGGACTGCTGCACGAGCCGCCACAAGAAACCGTGGCAGACGATCCAGACTCTAGTTAAACCTTGTGTGAGTCTCGTGTTTAGTCTGGAATTACCTGGATACTTAATTATCCAAAATAATAATAAAAAAAACCCTCACAATGTAGATGTAGTAACTGAATTATCTAAGATCAAGTTGTTATATTTGAATAATTAGATTTACCATCCCATATATTATTTTATTATTGATTAGTGATATCACATATCGGTAAAGATATTACCAATATGTTGAATTTTTACTACGTAATGTTTCTTGTTTTTGTTTTATTTTGTCTATTTGTGATTTTTTTTTTTTTTTTTTTTTTTTTTTTTTTTTTTTTGATTTTTTTTTTTTAAACTGAGATGTTCACGAATGGTTTCTTTAGGTTTTTGTGCTATGTTTTCTCTATAATTCAAATATGATTTAATTGTTAGGCATGTCATATGAATTCGATTTGTTTCTAGGCACCATACATCCTAGTTACATTTTGCTATTAAGATAAGGAAGACAAAATGTAAATTAGATCACTAAGAACGGATATTCTTGTTTTAAAAATTAGTAAGTGTGTCATATACTTCACATATGACATGATTCAGTTTAAATTCTTTATAATCCTCATAGAAGGTGTTAAATGTAACAAGATGATACTTTGAGGTGAATGATTGTTGAGTTTTAAAGTTCAATGGCAAAGTGCAAATGAGTTATAATTTAAGAGAGTCTACTATAATTTACCCCAATTTTTTTTTTTCAAAAACTATTTAGAAAATCATATCAATGAACCACATTCATTATAGTTGTCCACATCACTTTTAGAACAATTTTTGAGATATAAATTCTCATTACATAGCATTTTTTTTTTTTTGGGCGAAATCAATCATTTGGGGTTCATGTTGACATTGTAAAATCAATCAGTTTCAGATTAACACTGAATTTTAGACTTAAAAGTGGCTTGAGTACGACTTAGGTGGAATAAAAGGACTCAAAACTCAACGAGTGAGCTTTTGAAACCACATGAGCAAAACAATCAAATATAATGTTCGACTCTGTTGATTATTATGTATATAACTTAGTGAAAGAAATTAATTTTTTTTTCCCTTTTATTTGATTGAGTTTTGAAATTGAGAAGATAAATATAGATCATTGTTAAAATAACCCCTTATTTGGTTAATTACTCATAAGTATTAAGAGGGTAATTTATAAGTAAATTGGGTCGAGCTAAGTAATGGGTCGTTCTATGGGCCGCGGTAGAAAAGGGCTTGGCAAGTGGACTGTAGTATTAGCGCGGTCCAAGAGGAATGACAGTTACCACAGTCGTAGCAGGCCGTAGATTAGCCCGGTTTCAACAGGCAATCGAGGTACAACTGAACGAGAGCCTGGCTAGCTTGGCATTGTGCATTGGAGCACCAAGCTTGGTTAGCTCGGTCTTAAGTTAACAGTCCGGTTAGAGTATGCATAACTAGGGTACAGGCACTGAAGGGAAGATCTGAGCTGGGTTAGCTCGGTCATACTGCCATCCAACCGGGGTAAAGCCATATCACTTGGTTTAAGCAGTGAGGGGGGTGCTGAAGGATAAGTCTTATCTTTCTGGAGTATGATTCCTAGGAGGATTATACATGGAGGAGTAAGAGTCCTACTAGGATTGTGCCACACGGAACCTACAAAAGCTCATCACATCACCTATGGAGAGGTAACACAACTTTGACTCTCGAATACACAGAGCTTTTTGTCTATTTGTCTATTTTGCTGACTTAGGCATCGGAGAGGTATCCGGCACACACCCGCCGGCTAGCTCACGTTTGTGTTTTCAAGGAGTAAAGCGACGACGTTTGGAGGAGCGCAGACTTGATCAACAGGATTGTACGAGAATATTATTTTGTACTTGTACAATTGGCGCCGTCTGTGGGAACATCAGAAAGAACAAAACCTCTTTATCAAGTTTTTCGTCTCTAATTTGAAGTAATGGCACACAATGAAGATTTGCCGCAGTCTGCCATCGACAGACAAACCCCAAAGGGGGGTTGGAGGCGCAAACGTTTGCCTTCTATCCCTCCCATGGCTGATTTAGAGCCCCAGCGACAGAACCCCT